TAGCGGTAACTGTTGTTTTTAGATACTTTATTTAACCTACTTTAGTTTGTGACGTCATTTGCTGTATGAAGTAGTAAATACATTTAATTCCCAGGATTTATTTTCTTATTTTTTAAAGCACTCTTATTCGCCATTTTTTTTTCTATTGTGGATATATGCATAATCTCGGAGTAATTATGTATTATCCCATTATTTTCACTCTTTTTCAAACTTGTCTTTTATTTTCCGCAAATTTTCTTTCAAATGAATTTTCGTCCCTGTTCTTCCTGGGTCGTGAAATTATGCATAGGAACTTTCTCTCCATAGAAATGATGTTTTTTTGTGGTCAGCCTGAATATCAGATTTCTTAGAATGATGTTTATTTCACCAGGTGTTTTTATTTTCCTTCTTTCAAAACAAAGTATTTTGGCTTACGTAAACCTGGCCTCTCATATGCCTTTGTTATAATGATCTGGGTAAAAAAAAGAACGCGAGAAGGTAAATAGTTACCTCTGATTTTATGGAAAATATGATTAACAAGGAAAAGATACATATAGATGAAAATTTTTTATTCTTTATATACAGCGTCTCTCCGTATAAAATTATTCGACGTTGAGTTGGTAACACTAGCAGCTCTTCTGCCTGGTGTTCTTCGTATTTCTTAGCAGCAGACAAATATGTATTCTTTAAAATTTAGGAAATAGTCTAACTGATTTCATCTTCTTTCTTTTGTATGTTGATTAAGATGTTTGTAATGCAGCAAAGTGCATTAGTTGATATAAATTTCTGGTTGGGTATTCCCGCGTTGGTAATAATTTGTATATGACGTCATGAAAGTTGCCAAGTGTCATTTTCGCGACTTGAATGCCCATTTTTATATGTAAATATATGTCGACTCCGTTTACATATATTTCCGATAAAAATTACACTAATTATAGATTTGCACAAATCTCAGGAAATGAGTGAAAATAGAGAATGGCGTTCAATGGCGTAATGTGAAGTGTTGCCACACCTATGTATCGAAGACTTGCAAGGAAAGTTCGCCTCTTCATAAAACTTGACTAACACACTTTACCAGTTTTCGTGTGATGTGGGTACAATAAATCTTGAAATATGGCTTTAATTCCCCAACATCTTTTTTCTGTGTGTTTACGTGTTCGATGTTTATGCTCTTATACTTATGGAGGTATTTATGTTGCAGATAATCGGTCCTATCTTAACTGCAATACGTTAATAAATTAGATAGGATGATTAATCGCCAGATATAAGAAGATAAAAATGGCGACGATTTTATACTATTTCCTTAAACTGTGAACAGGAGCAGTGATAATGAAAGACTGTAAAGATTTACAAATTATATTTTGTTGGGTTCATGCCTTCCTCCCTCTTTCNTTTTGGGGAAATTAAACTTATTTCATATCATATTATATCATAACATTAATAAGAGATCTGTATGCGTTTCGATGACTAAAATTTCTATTTCTTTTTCTATCATATTCTATTTATTTCATTCCAGTTTCGACGCCAAAAAAAAAAAACTCTTTTTCTTTGATCTTTGTACATTTCTTTCATTAGCATTTCACACTTTTAATAATTTCTCTCACAATTTTTCCTTTCTCTCACTCATTCTCTTTCTCTCCGCTTTCCTCTCTCGTTCTCTCTCTTTCTTTATCTCTCATTCTCTTTAACTGCCTTTCTCTCTCTCTCTCATTCTCATTCTCTTTCTCTGCCTCCCCCCATCTCTCTCTCGCCCTCTCTTTTTCCCTCCCCTTCTCTCTCTTTCCCTCCCCCCTCTCTCTCTCTTTCCCTCCCCCTCTCTCTCCCTCCCTCTCTCTCTCTCTCTTTCCCTCCCCCCCTCTCCCTCTCTTTCCCTCCCCCCTCGCTCGGGGGGGGGGGGGGGGGAGGTAAAAGGGGGGGAGGGGGGGGGAGGGGGAGAAAGGAGAGGGAGAGGGGGGGGAGGGAGGGAAAGAGAGAGGGGGGGGGAGGGAAAAAAGGAGAGGGGGGGGAGGGAGGGAAAGAGAGAGGGGGGGAGGGGGGGAAAGGGAGCGGGGGGGGGGGAAAGGGGGGAGGGGGGGAGGGGGGGAAAGGGAGCGGGGGGGGGGGAAAGGGGAGAGAGAGGGGGGGAGGAAAAGAGAGAGAGGGGGGGGGAGAGAGAGAGAGAAAAATCATCGCAGAAGGGGAGAGAGAGAGAGAAAAATCATCGCAGAAGGGGAGAGAGAGAGAGAAAAATCATCGCAGAAGGGGAGAGAGAGAGAGAGAGAAACAGAGAGAGAGAGGGGGGGGGGGAAGAGAGAGAGAGAGCGAAAGAGAAAGAGAGAGGGAAAGAGAAAGAGAGAGGGAAAGAGAAAGAGAGAGAGAGGGAGAGAGGGGGGAAAGAGAGAGAGAGAGCGAGAGAGAGAGAGAGAGAAAGTGAGACGGAGAGAGAGAGAGAGAGAAAGTGAGACGGAGAGAGAGAGAGAGAGAAATAACTATATATAGCATACATTATACGAAGTTATACGACTCTCCCTCCCCCCTCTCTCCTTCGTTCTCCCTCTCTCTCTCTCTCCCTCCCTCTCTCTCTCTCTCTCCTTTTTTCCCCCCGCGCTCTCTCTCTCTCTCTTTTCCTCCCCCTCTCTCTCTCTCTTTCCCGTAATAACTTCGTATAGCATACATTATACGAAGTTATACGACTCTCTCTCTCTCTCTCTATCTATCTGTCTGTCCGTAATAACTTCGTATAGCATACATTATACGAAGTTATACGACCTCTCTCTCTCTCTCTTTCCCTCCCCCCTCGCTCGCTTTCCCACTCTCCCTCTCTCCCTCTCTTACCTCCCCCTCCATCCCTCCCTCCCTCTTTTTCTCTTTCTCATTTGTGTCTCATTACTCTTTTTTCTAATATTTACTCTCTCCTAAATCTCTTATTGTGTCACTACCTTTTCCATCTCTCTCCCTCCCTCCATCCATCCATCCTTCTCCTACCTCTCCCCCTCCCTTCCTCCCCTTCTTCCTTACTTCCATTCCTCCCTCCCCTTCTTCCTTACTTCCCTCCCTCCCTCCCCTTCTTCCCTCCCTCCCCTTCTTCCTCCCTCTTCCCTCCCTCTCTTTCTCACTTGTGTCTCTTTCATTACTCTTTTGTCTCACTTTTTACTCTCTCCTTAATCTCTTATTCTGTCTACCTTTTCCATCTCCCTCACTCCCTCCACTCCCTCCCTCCACTCCTCCACTCCCTCCCTCCACTACTCCCTCCCTCCCTCCCCCTCTCCCCCCTCACTGTCTTTATTGAGAAGATCGATTTAGTTGACAAAATTATAAGTTCTGCGGCGCAATAGATGATGAGCTAATGCATGTATTTTTTGTAGTAATGTTAGTCTTGTGGTACAAATGTATTTTGTAAATTGTTCATTGTTATCATCATCATTGTTAGTATTGAGTTTTATTTTTTTTAGAGGTTTATGATATGCAACGGCGAGTATAAATTATAAGATTTTTTTTTTCTTTCTCCACAGAAAACGGGGCGTGGCTGCTTGTTCGTGACGTCACTTGGGTGTTGTTTGGCCCCAAGAGAGCTGTACACGTTTGGATGGTAGCAGATGAGCGAGGAAAAGAGTCTTGTTCGTGTTATCCTTGTAAGAAGGGACGGATAGAGAGGAAGAGAGGGCGCAGATGTTTAGAAAAAAGGAGAAGTGCAAAGTGTGAAGCAGAAAGAGAGAGAAAGAAAACGGGAAGAGGCTAGACTTGCCGTAGGTGGAATCTGCCTACCGCGTCTGGCCCTTGAGTTGGCAACACTGTCGTGCGCTCGTCTGCAGGAACGAACTGAACAGAAATTCAAGACCTAATTGCAATCAAAACCACTTGGAAAAAAATCTAAATTGTTCTTTTCTTTCGGAATACTTAAATTTCTTAAGATGGTTTAAATAGAGAAAAAAAAAGTGGAGAAAAAGAATCACGTGAGGTAATCTGCCTGCCTTGCCTTGCCTGCGAGAGGGAGGGAGAGGGAGAGGGAGAGGGAGAGGTATCTTCCGACACTTGCAAGAATGTCGCTGCAAGAACCGCGCCAAATTCCTTGCAACTGTCTGCGCTGAGTGGCTGGTTGACCCCCCTCCCCCCCCCTCCCCCGTTTGCCTCTTTTGTAAAACTTGTTGGTGATCTTGAAGTACTTAGACCCGGTGCTAAACACGATTAAAAAAAAAAAGGGGTTGGATTTTGACGTCGTGTGAAGGGACGAGTGAGAGTGAGTGAGTAATCAAACCCGCTGATGCAGTGTAGTTTGTTGCAAATTCTTACATTGTTTTTTCTTTTCTTTTTTTCTTTTTTTTTATCAACACGGTCGGTTTTTTTCTGATCGTTTCTTTGTGATGTGTAATTGGTGTAGATTTTTTTTTTTTTAATTCTAGGTTTCTTTTCGCAACGAAAGGATGTCTATTGACTATTTTTTTTTCTTTCAAATCGGGAATGGCTGCATTGTAGCAGACCAGGTACTCTTTATATGTACATTCTCTTTGTGTTCGTTGTGTATGTATAACGAAAGGTAGCGTTTAGGTAATCTTAACAAATCTGGTTCAAGAAAGCATAATAGAAAACCTTGTACCTTTTACTTCAGAGTATTTGTATTTCTTTCTTGTTGTTTTTCACTTCTTTTCATCAATATCACCACATTTTCTTTATTGTACGTTCCCTTTTTCTACTCCATACCATTTCCATATTTTCTGTCATTCACAAAAAAAAAAACCTTTTCTGTCGTGTGTTCATTCGTTTAACGATTGTGATAATTGGTCGTAAGGATAGTAAATGAACAATTGCCAGATTTGTATTTTTTTCTACTTAAGGCAGTTGAGAGAAACCCTGATAATTAAGGGTAAGATGCAAAAAAAAAAATCTGTTCCGTTGTATGGAACAAAGAATGAGGTTGTTGTAAAACGAGAAAATATTAATTATTTTTTTGTAATGAATAGTTGTTTATATATTGTTTTTGTATTTGGGGCATTTCCTAACATGGGGAATTTGTTGTCATACGGAATATAAGGTTCGGTTCGTGTAGATAGTGGAAAGAACCTTCTCTAATCGATATGCATGTGCTATCATTTTTTTTTTATCTTCAAAGAATCAAAATTTATAATAATCATGGTTATGAGATGATTTTATGACAGCGCAAGACCGCCTGACTGATATGTAGGTTATCTGAGATGGTCATTTAGGTTATCTGAGATGGTCGTTCATTTCTTTTCATCTAAATTGCTTCATTGTTCATCCGATCATCATTTCGAGCTCTGTGTCTAAATCCTGTGTAGTAAGGTCACTGTGATTCGCGTCTACGCTGTGAGACTTTATACTGCTGTAATAACGCCTATTAGTGTTAATAGGAGTTGCTTCCCAAGTTTTGTTTCCTTCTGCCAAAAAAAGAAGAAGAAAAAAAGTGGAAAATCCCACTGAATAGATCCTAATGTATTTTGTTATGTAGTATGTTGTATGTGAAAAAATATGTGGAATAGGAATATAATTTTTAAAAAAGTGAAAAAAATGCTAAGTGACCTTTGAAAGTACAGAAGTGTCTGTGCCTTTTTTTAAGCAGTGAAATGAATTGATTTTGATTCTACAATTGTATTTAAAACAATGTGTAATCAAAGAAGTGGAAATGATTTGGAGACTTAATTCAGGATATGGAGATGATGAATCCCCAGCCATGATATAAAATATATTTACTTTTTTGAGTTTGTTTAATAAATTCTCTTGATAAATGGGTGTCCTTTTAACCTTCGGAGTTGGAGGATAGTAAAAATGATAAATATGTGATATTTATTATGAACACATACACTGTATTGATCAGTATATATTTGTGGTAACTCAATTACTTCATAGAATAATGATGTTCACTTTGCTGTCATCCTAACTGTTTCTCTCTCTCTCTCTCTCTCTCTCTCTCTCTCTCCCTCTCTCTCTCTCTCTCTCTCTCTCTCTCTCTCGCTCTCTCTCTCTCTCTCTCTCTCTCTCTCTCTCGCTCTCTCTCTCTCTCTCTCTCTCTCTCTCTCTCGCTCTCTCTCTCTCTCTCTCTCTCTCTCTCTCTCCCCACGCTCTCCCTTCATTAATACATAATGCCCACTTTGCTGCCATCTTGACTGTCTCTCTTTCTCTCTCCCATCTCTCTCTCTCTCTCTCTCTCTCTCTCTCTCCTCTCTCTCTCTCTCTCTCTCTCTCTCTCTCTCCCCACGTTCTCCCTTCATTAATACATAATGCCCACTTTGCTGTCATCTTGACTGTCTCTCTTTCTCTCTCCCATCTCACTCTCTCTCTCTCTCCACGCTCTCCCTTCATTAATTAATAATGCCCACTTTGCTGTCATCTTAACTGTTTCTCTCTCTTTATCTCTCCCATCTCTCGTTCTCTTTCTCTCTCTCTCTCTCTCTCTCTCTCTCTCTCTCGCTCTCTCTCTCTCTCTCTCTCTCTCTCTCTCTCCCCACGCTCTCCCTTCATTAATACATAATGCCCACTTTGCTGCCATCTTGACTGTCTCTCTTTCTCTCTCCCATCTCTCTCTCTCTCTCTCTCTCTCTCTCTCTCTCTCTCTCTCTCTCTCTCTCTCTCTCTCTCTCCCTCTCTCTCTCTCTCTCTCTCTCTCTCTCTCTCCCTCTCTCTCTCTCTCTCTCTCTCTCTCTCTCTCGCTCTCTCTCTCTCTCTCTCTCTCTCTCTCTCTCCTCTCTCTCTCTCTCTCTCTCTCTCTCTCTCTCCCCACGTTCTCCCTTCATTAATACATAATGCCCACTTTGCTGCCATCTTGACTGTCTCTCTGTCTCTCTCCCATCTCTCTCTCTCTCTCTCTCTCTCTCTCTCTCCACGCTCTCCCTTCATTAATTAATAATGCCCACTTTGCTGCCATCTTAACTGTTTCTCTCTCTTTATCTCTCCCATCTCTCGTTCTCTTTCTCTCTCTCTCCCATCCCTCTCTTTCTCTCTCGCTCTCTCATCCCTCCCTCTCTATCTATCTATCTACAGTACTGTATATTGCCATTTCTTGTTTTCCCTTAATTATTTTTTTTATCTTTGCATTTTTCGTGTATTACCATCCCAACACCTTTACTTGTTCTTTTGGCTAGTGTTAGACGGCATTCAATTTGTAATTAATTTCTCTCATATCCAACTTCTCATGACCACCAGTCCTAAAATATTAAATAGAGATTACAAAGCATATAATCTAATGCAGTTTAAAATGACTCGGTGAGTGTACTTGTTATAACGGATCGTCTTTCGATCATCTTGTGTCATTCAGTCAATTTTTATTTGGTGATTGACAGGTGCGACCTTCTGGGGGATGTGAACGAACAAGGTCCAATCTGTTTGCTGTTGGTTGTTGAAATTGAATGAGGAAGCAAGTAGGAAGTCTTTTGAGGTGATTTCTCTCTCTCTCTCTTTCTCTTGCTCTGTCTCTTTTTCTCATTCTCTCTCTCGCTCTTTCTTTCTTCCTCTCTCTTTCTCTCGCTTTCTCGTCTCTCTCTCTCTCTCGCTTTCTCCTCTCCCTCTCTCTCTCTCTCTCTCTCTCTCTCT